AAAAACATTTGGAACATAATAAATCCTATAAAATAAAGTTATTTTTAATAGTTTCTCTGAATTCCGAATTTTTAATCCGTTATACAATTTGAATTAAATTTGCTCTTAGGCTTAGAAAGGAAAACCGATGAATAATGGCCCCCACCCCGTAACAGAAAATTATGGTGGCCGTGTGTATATGTGTGCGAATGAGCTTAATTAGGAGGATTAAAAATGCCCTTTTTTTTTAATAATAGAAATGACCGACCGGATAGAGCATGAATTACATGAGGAAGTGTAGTAGTCGAGCAAACATACGATGAGATGTTAACAGTCCTGACAAGCTTTGCTTAAGGCCGCTGTACCGTAGTGCTCCACTACTTACTCAAACTAATATTGAAGTTAATGTATATGCCCGAAAACTACGGTAAGTATGAAAAATTACTCTTACAGCGAAGACGAATCAGTGGATTTCCCGATTACCGTTGGCACATATTAATGTCAACACGTGCGCTGATATTACGCTGCAAAACTTGGCCAATCTCACTATGTTCAAAGGAAAATGAGTATTAGTATTGGAATACTTATATATTTATCGATATTGAATATTCATAATTTATCAACTCGCTAAATGGATAATTTAATGTAGCAGCAGAAGGTTATTTGATAATCAACAAAAAATACTGTAGCAAGTAAATAAGGCTTTCCGGAATATTACTTATATAAAAATTTTACTTCGTCATTTTATATCCTAGAATATTTAAATTGTAAATATATTTTAAATATAATTCATATCGAATTGAGTCTTTAGCAATTGCGAAATATTGTAAAAATATGATAATACATTGCTGGTGAAATTAGCGTATTACTGTCTTCTCATTTGTGAATCCTGAGTTGCACAAACCTTTTGAAACACGTCATTGTAATACATAAATAATAAAAACATTAGCATGCATATTAAAGGAATATATAGTTATTTATGTATGTAGATGCTTTGTATGTAGATGCTGCACGACATATGATTTCCAAATTAACGATTGTATTATGGAAATTGGTGCACATTTTTTTACAGTTATGCTTCCCTTGTCAGAACCGTATCGCATGTATGTTTGCATTTCTATATGTTATTGAAGAATAGTCAAAGAGAGTAGAGAGTAGACGGAGAGAGAAAGATAAATTGATACATATATATATATATATATATATATATATATATATATATACCAATGAAAAGCGTGCCATATTGAAAAAATAAGCTCAAAAAGAGATATTATGAGCTATATAGAACTGGATAAGGGTATAACCAGAATAAGTATAAAAATCGTATTTTGTGTATGCATATAATAACAGAAGATAAACAATTGTTACGCTTTAGTTATGCTAATGTTTTTTTCTCTTTCAGTTTTCGTTTCAATTATATGAAAAATTCATTTATGCTTCATTATACAAATTCATGGATTTAGATACCCTTATTCAGATTTTATTATTTTTTCGTTTGTCTAAAAATTTTATATTTAATATGCAAATAACATTTGCTCTTGTTGGTTATTCAATTTGATTTTAGATCAAGTGTAATATTCATTTATAGTAAAATCAAATAATTTTAATTTAACTCGAGAAGTTTCAAATTTGTTATATCATTACGGAAAATTTGATTTTATTGTCAACACATTAGAAATTTATTTAATACGATCCTATTCAGATGGTATGGGTATGAATTTTTTTTTACTAAACTAAAAATAAACAGCATTATCCATTTGTAATATTTAAGTGTAAAATTTAAGTATAAAAATCATTGAAATTATGGTTTTTCTTTTCAATTATTCCCTAAAAACCAAATTAAAATACAAACAATAATGGCTTATTATATAATTAGCTTAATTTTATTGAATTATAAAAATATTAATTTTTCACTACATGAATAAAAAAGAGAATGTTTCAATACAGTTTTAGAAATCTGATGCAATATAATAATTTTATTTAATGTCATGGTAAGTTAATAAGTGAAGTTAATTATATATTCTTGTAAACTATTACTTATCAAAGAGACTTGTTTATTAATTTTATTTCACTGAAATATAATTCACTTATTTAAACATGGTCTTTGAGTTTGAAGTTTGAAGTCAATTTGTGCATTCAAATTATTATAATAATTAACTATGCATGCGTGATACATATATATATATATATATATATATATATATATATATATATATATATATATAGAAGATTACAATATAGAAAATGATATTAAAATTGTGTGGTAAAACTTCGTATTGTGTTAATAACATCAAGCATTCAAAAATTAAAATTTTAAAAATTTTATTATTGTATTGCTGAAACAATATTTTGTCATTGTGTTCAACTCTAATGTAATTTATGCACAATTTGGTTTAATTATTATTCGTACAAGTTAATTGAAAGTTACTGTTTATTTCAACGTTTGCATTCGAAATCACACATACCATTTACAATTAACAATCGAGATATTTATGTGGTAAGATATCTTAAATTATGTTTGTATTTCTAATTCATATGGAGTTTGCATTTATTTAATTTAACAGTAAACATAAATTAAGAAAAGAACTCTTTGTCTAAAGTTTATCTAAATATTTCCCTTCGTTTTGCGCGTTGCCAAAAGTTTTGCTTAATCGTTCCACCAGAAATCCCCTTTGAATGTACTTTTTCCATAAAACTAGCGCGGGCGCAAAGCCTGGAAATCCGTATCGCGTGAGTTCCTATAACAATGCGAGCTACTGCTTTCGCGATCCTGACGTCGTCTCCCCGAGGACGAATTTTACCTTTCGCCAGTATGGCAGTCAAGGATTTGCCGGACCGTCGCGTCGCGCTTTCGAGTAATTAAGCGCTGGAGACAAAACGTTTGGGCGGCGCTTGATTTCTTTGCGTTGCTTCTTTTCCTTATTCCTCTTATTTCATGTTATCTTCACCGCCCTTTCGATCGTCCTTTCTTACTCTTCTTTCATCTTATTTTTCACTTGGCTTTTTACGCAGCTTTGATTGATTACTCGAGGAATTGAAAAAACGGAGCGGTTGGACTTGGAGACTATCTTTTCCTTTTTTTTTTTTTTTTTTTTTTGCTCGCATTGAAAAAGCATTCGATCTCCGACAATTTATTCTTACGGAAAGAAGAGGAAAAAGGAAAATTTAGTGTAATAAAAAATTGTTTAGCAACGACATGTACGTATATAAAATTTAGGCTAAACAAGACTGAAACGAGAAAATGTACTTGCGTACTTTATTGTATTTTTACAATAAAATTTTAATCATTTAGTAAACATAAAACATATTGTTTAATTATTGTATTGATTTAGGATTATGCAATATGTTCTAGCACAAGGCATACCCATAAAATATACTCACTACTCGTTCACTGAATTATATTACTTATACTTAAATTCATAAAGTAAATTACATATTTCTTCATGATTATTAATTTGTTCAGTTAAAGTCACATCGATTTATTATTTAATGCATTTCACTGATGAATGAGGGATTTTTATCGTGCATTTTATACAATTTGAGAATAATTGTTCTTTTTTTAAATAAAACTATTTTTAAATAAAACATCCTTGTACACTTCATGTACAATCATTTACAGTAATTGCAATAATTTATCTAATCAAACTATAATAATGATTTTTTATATTTACATTAACTTAATTTTTATAGAACGTGATAAATATTAAGCAAATACAAACTAAGTATATTTTGTAGCGTAATATACAAATTATACATTTTTACAATTATTATATTAATTACGTATGGCTATTTTATATAAGAGAACGTTATTATAAAAAATTATTTATTTTACCATTACAAAACATACAATAAGGAATTATACATAATAATATATAATTATATAAAATAATATATTATGAATTTTTAAGTATCTTAATTATCACACCGTTGAACTTGTTTTCGTAACTTTAGTGAAATTCACATAACATATATTTAATGTATTAGGACATTGTATAAATTGTAAATATTTTACAATCTTTATACATTTGATTTTACTATAAATGTTTAATTTTTTTCGTGGAATTAGATTTTTGTGAAATGATATTTCGTGTAAAGTTTTTGTTCCTTGTTATATCGGTCGTCTACTTGAAAATATGCACGTGAGAAAAAGTATAATTGTACGAGCGCAGATAATATTAGTTTTTCAGGTAGTTTATCACGTAGCATAACAATTACTATGTCTCGAGTTCGAGACACTACATAAATATAATGAATTTGTGTGAGTTATAATACAACAAAGAAAAATAAATCTGCTAAGGGAGAAAAGGTGGAAAACATATAAGTCTTGTGTAAGAGAAAAAGAAAAAACTTTCAGTGCTTAGATGTGGTTGTGTACATTAGGACTCATTCGCTAGAAAACTTTTTAATCGCCCTTTGAGACAAAAAAACTATAGTTTTTAGACTTCATTTGTATGTGATGTTGAGAATAAGCTTTTCATATATTCATAATTAAGAGTGGATCACGATTTATGTGCGAGCTACTCACCAAATGAGAGAACTGCTTAGAATAAAGATTAATATCGTTTTATTAATATAAAGTTTTTTTTTTATTTAAACATCCTTCCAATTTCTATGATAATATTTAATAAATTTTCAGATTTTAAACTGATATTATTTAAACTGTCATTGTTCTTCGAAATTCGAAGAATATGAGATATCGAAACGTTATAATAATTTTATCAGTTGGTGAGTAGGCAATTAACACATATCTTGCAAAAATAGTTATGGCAAACTTATTCACATTTTGGGATTTTGTCAATTTTTCATCAATTTAATTAGAATGCGTTGTAAATTGTAATTATATTTTTAATCTTTGAAATGGTGCTGGATTGGTCGTATTATTCGTTGGTCGAGCGTTTAAATCGATACGTTTAAAAACATCAATTTTATATATCAGTTTGTTCTTATAAAATTATAAGCTACGTGAAAAAAATATATATATTTTTTAGAGGAATGACTTCGTAAGACCTAAGTAATAGTACCATTTTGACTTCTGATAAGGAGCTGATACTCAAGACGTACATGGTGACGCCCACCTCGACGGGAGGACCTGAAATTGAAGGTTTTATGTTCACTGAGTCGACCATGTTGGTCGATTTTGATTGTAAATTTTTGTGTTCAATGTTTTCTTACAGAACGATTACGTCATTGAGTTACTTAGTATCTTTATTTTGTTTACTTTAACTACTAATTATACAATGCTGATAAAAGCTTTTGTAACACTCCATTACCTATTTTCCATACATCATGTTTCTATATCATCATATATATTACTTTTTTTTTCATTTTGCCGTAAATACATGTCATTTCCTTGGTATATTTTGCTATCCAGTATATACATAAAATATATACAGTTATATTTAATAAATAAACGGATGTATTTTGTCTATTTTTTTACTTCATTTGGATGACAATAATTACAATTTATCTGTCTAATACAAGTGAAAACAGTCAAAATTATTTTCATTCTTGAAAAATGATATATTGAATTCTAAATTCAATATTACAATTATATTTCATTTCCTTTATATGTAGTTAGTTTTCTTTAATTTTTCATAATTTTGTAATAATATACATATACATATATATAGGTTTTATTATAAAATAGATCCATGAAAGCTTATCAAATACGTTATATATTGTTGGTTTGCGAAATTTATTTCAGCAAATTGTATTATATTTGCTTTTCCATTTTAATTTTTTTCCTGCTGGAACTATAAATATCAATATTTTTTTTTTTATTTTAGACTGATTGAATATGATATCTATATTTTTATGAATAAGTTGAAACGCTAATAGTATAGATATGAAAAATTATTGAAATTATAATACAAATATTTACTAGCATCATACATTTTTTATATGGCTTTGATGAATTCCATAACCTAAAAATAAAATATAAATAATTTGTTTTTATAGCGAGGAATTAATAACTGTATTGAGCATCAAAAATATTTTACCTCGCAATAGAGAGTTCCAGTAGTTGAACTCATTGTAGACTAAAACGGCAAATTAAATCGGCTCATCGAGCAATACCCTTCGAATGTTCAAGTTTCTATTGTCTAACTGAAAGCGCCGTTAAACATATGTGTCTCTCTCTCTCTCTCTCTCTCTCTCTCTCTCTCTGTGCGCGCGTGTGTAAGTATACGCGCTTGTATATCACATACGCATTTGTGTATGTGTATGTGATGGAGGGGTCGGTGTGAGAAAGGGAGAGTGCGTTAGTAGTAACGAGAGTAAATGCTAGTTGATCAATCGAGAGAGAAAATATGTTAGAAAAAGAATGAGTAGTAGAAGAATAATTTGTCTCTAATTGCTTGATAAAACATTAATAATACATGAATAGTTAGATGTTCAAAATTTATAAAACATATAAAAAATATCTGGGATTGAAATTTTTTATAATTTATTCACTTCTAAAAAATATAAAATGTTGAAACACATAATGTAAATATATGAAAACGACATAACGTTTTAATAAGACGATAATTAAAAAATCAAAAATTACAATAAAAATAACAAAAGATAACAAAGAAACAAAAACAAAAATAAACAATTGAAATTATAATTTTTGTAAATTTTATTGACAAGTTGCCTACTGCATAGGCGATGTATTGTACCATGAACCGTTGTAAGTAAAATAAATTGGTTTCTATAAATATGGTTATAATTATTCATATAAAGTTAACTGAATAGTTATAAAAATATTATTGAATTGTCGAAATGAATTAAAGATCGTATACGGAAAAAATCATTATAATATGTTTAAACGCGTGAATGCCTATGTACCTATTGCTATATGAATCCGCACATGAATAATTAAATTTTTGTTTACACATATGTTTGCATTTGTATTAAACTAAGGATGTAGATATGATTAGTATATAGACAAATGGACTCGGTGTTCCGGCGTCAGCTACGTTGTACGATAAACTTGAACCATAAACAAGAGCTTCTATCTACCTATTTTGTCTCCCTGTTTATCTCCATCTCACTTTCTCATACTCAACTATTCTCATTTCACCTTTCTCTCTTTATCTCCATAAATACAAGTATAGATTAATATGCGAATAAATACAAGAACACAAAAAAATCTTTCTATGTGTTGTTAGTGTCAAAACACGGTGACAGAGAAAAAATATATATATATAGAAAGAGAGAGAGAGAGAGAGAGAGAGAGAGAATATATATATATATATATCTTTATATCTCACTATTTACTGTTCTTATTTTATTTTAAAGACGTTGATATTTTTTCCATTCGACTCAATTTTTTCTTTTATAATTGTACAAATTCATATGAATTATAGTATTGTTTTCAAAGTTATATGGTATCACAAATGAACTATTTAAAAGAAAACTGACAATTTGTTATAAAATTATTAAAAATTATTTACATATCTGTTCGATGCATGTCAGTTGTGATTTATTAGTTAATATTGTTTTTCGAAACGAAGTATAATTTGGGTTGCACAATTAATGATGTATATTTTACGAATTGTAAAAGAAATTATTTCATATATTAAATGCGATTTGAATAAATTTTGTATTAATTTTATTTATGTATTAATTTATGTATTAATTTTATTAATTTGCATATAAAATTTTATTCAAGGCACATATTTGTTGAAATATAAATTTATTCCGTAAAAAAGTATAATTTCAATTCTAAATTAACACTATTGAATCTTATATTATAAATTACATTTTATAGAATATAAACTTTTGTATGAATATCGATATGACTAATACAGAAATACGTTATTAAGGTTTTGAGATAACATACATGATACATGTATGTAGAATTATTATATCAAGTTGAGGGAGGCTTAGATCAAGCTGTATTTCGTACAGATTTTCATATAAACATTAATATATTATCAATGTTAGCTTATGAAATTTGAATGGATATTATCAAGAAAGAATAATTTACATTTTAGAAAGATTAATTTTCTAACGACTAATTTTACAGTTAAATTTATAACAAATCGTTGAAATCCATTATATTTTAAGCCTATCTTTATTTTTTTTTAGTTAAATTATATTTTATATTAAATTTAAAATGATTAAAATCTATTTTCTGAATCGAAATACAATATATAGTTTTCTCTTATGTTAAAAGTCTATTCTTGCCTATGCCTGTGTTTTTTCCTTAAGGTGTTTTTTAATTATATATACATTTAAAGAATATTAATAGATTTATTGCAAATGATATGCATGTTTTCTATTATTGGTTATATATAATATTTCATTTTTCCTTCAGTATTCGTTATTTTAAAAGAATTTCACTTTTTAGACAAGTGAAGATAAAGTTGCATATTATAATATTTTATGTAAACTTATTCGATTAAAAACTATTTCTAATAATTGAATAAAAATTATTATGTAATTGAAAGAATCTGTCAAATTTGATAATTTTTATATAAAATGTTTTAGATGGTTGATTTAGAAAATATTGTTTTTTAAATTTTTAATTCTTAGTTTGTATACTATTAGTTATTATATTATCCAAATTAAAAAAATATAATATTACTTTATCGCTGAGTGGCATATTACATAACATTTTTATAAAATTGCCCCATAAAGCTAGTTTTACATTTTTCCTATTAATTGATTTATAATATATTAAAAAATAAAACTTAAATCTTACTATAAATAATGTATATTTTATTCATTTGATCTGGTTATTTTTGTAACGTATGCATTGATGAGTTTCGAAATACTTTCTAATTTCCAATAATTTCTAATTAAGTCTGTTAAAATGAAATCGATGTTTCATAGTGTATAATTGAATTGATATTATTAACAAAATATGCTTATCTCTTGCTGATTAATTATGAAGACTATATATTAATAAATAGAGATACACAAAATTCAAGGTTGAATGAATATTAAATTATTTTGTAATTGACAGATTATGTCCTTGTGGTTTTCGCCATGCATTGAGGTTTATCATGATAAAAGATGCCTCGGAGAATAAAAGCTCGGCTCCTTCCATTCGCTACTTTTACATTTATGAAATCTAATGTATAAACATTTGCTTCCCTTGACTTCTAGGAAATCTTTTGCAAATCATATTATCTCTTATTATATTACCCTATAACAGTCATGGTTTATTATTTATTATTAATTTTTTAATAAATATTATGATTATTATTTGATACTACGTACAATTTTTTAGTGATTTATATCGTTAAGAAATTTTAAAATACCAATGGTAAAATTAAAGATTACTTGACTTCATTTCTGTAAACACTGATATATCTTTAATGGTAAAAGCTGTATAAGATGTTCGTAATAGCATTTAAACACCGATTTTTATTAATTTAAATTGTTTTAAAATGGGTAATAATTTATTAATACTGTACTGTTTTGTTTATAAATAAAATAAAATTTTAATTATTCTTTATAGTTTGTTATACTGGTAATGTAAAGAATACAAGCGAAAATACGACTTGTAAAATCTGGTATACATTTATGCATTATTTAGTTAAATCTCTGTTAAGCAGATTTTGCATGGGATTTAGTAAATAAATTAAGATAAATTCTGTAAGTTCAAAATTCAACACATATATTTTTTAATCACTACTATAATTTCCTTTGAAATTTGGTTCTACATACGCTTTTTATTTTCGACTTTTAATTGTACCGCATTCTGTTTCTTAAATATTTTTAAAAATCTAGGAAGCTTATATTGATAGTTTATTATATGAGTTTTTAAAGTAAAAAAATGTTAAACTCGAGTTGTAAACTCCGTTAAAAATGTGATTAACAATCTTTTGTGTGTATGGTTTTAATGTAAATAGTAAATTTGAAGTTCGTTATAATGGACGTTTAATATTTAGTAATAAATTTACAAATAAAGATAAAAATATACTAGATACGAAACTATTTAGTGGAGTATTATATTTAGAAAATCCACATCTTAATATTATTTTTATATATTTATTTTTTATTGTACTATGATTTAACTCAGTTAATGCAGCCAACAAAAACTAATTTCCTTGACAAATAGGCTATTTTATAAACTAATTATTCAAGATTTGATTT